TTGCATTTCAAAGCTTTACCCAGACGGTAGGCCAAAACCACACAGAGTTTGGATCCATTTTATTGCAGTATCAATCAACTTTTCAGGTAATAAAAGTTCTTTACAACCAGATCTAAGATACTTAAGTTATGTGAAAAAACAAACCGCAACATCTGAAAAAACCTTAAACAAAAAGGTACAAACTTTGAAAATTCTTAAAAGAAAACTTCTGCCGTAGAAAATAAACCCGACTCTTCCCGAGTTTTTTAAGTCAAAAACTCGAAAAAAAATATCACAAAAATCAACATTTTTGCATTTCAAAGCATTTTATAGCAGTATCAATCAACTTTTCAGATAATGAAAGGTTTTTACAACCAGATCTAAGATACTTAAGTTATGTGAAAACAAACCGCAACCTCTGAAAAAACCTTAAAAAAAGTACATACTTTGAAACTTCTTAAAAAAAAGTTCTGACATAGAAAATAAACCCGACTTTTCACGAATTTTAAAGTCAAAATTTCATTAAAAAAAATCTTACTAAAATCAACATTTTTGCATTTCAAAGCTTTACCCAGACGGTAGGCCAAAACCACACATAGTTTGGATCCACTTTATAGCAGTTATCAATCAACTTTTCAGATAATCAAAGTTTTTTGCAACCAGATCTAAGATACTTAAGTTATGTGAAAAAACCAATCGCTACCTCTGAAAAAACCTTAAACTAAAAATTACATCGTTAATAAGTTGTTAAAAAACAAGTTCTGCCATAGAAAATAAAACCGACTTTTCCCGAATTTTTAGAGTCAAAATTTCGTACAAAATACCTGACAAAAATAAACATTTTTGCATTTCAAAGCTTTACCCAGACGGTAGGCCAAAACCACACAGAGTTTGGATCCATTTTATCGCAGTATCAATCAACTTTTCAGATAATAAAAGTTCTTTACAACCAGATCTAAGATACTTAAGTTATGTGAAAAAACAAACCGCAACCTCTGCAAAAACCTTAAACAAAAAGGTACAAACTTTGAAAATTCTTAAAAGAAAACTTCTGCCGTAGAAAATAAACCCGACTCTTCCCGAGTTTTTTAAGTCAAAAACTCGAAAAAAAAATATCACAAAAATCAACATTTTTGCATTTCAAAGCTTTACCCAGACGGTAGGCCAAAACCACACATAGTTTGGATCCACTTTATAGCAGTATCAATCAACTTTTCAGAAAATCAAAGTTTTTTGCAACCAGATCTAAGATACTAAATCCATGTGAAAAAACAATCCGACACCTCTGAAAAAACCTTAAACTAAAAATTACATCCTTAATAAATTCTTAAATCGATAAAATGGAACCGAAACAAAATGCAAACTGAGTCCGGCATCGACCTGTTGGTCATCGTGCTGGACACGAATCCATAACAGCACATAGTCCGCCAGAACCCGCAGAACCTCACACAGATACTGGAAGCAGTGATCGCTTTCGGCAATGCGCACCTCATGCAGAAGGCACAGAACAAATTGGCGGTCATCTCCTGCTCGCATCATGCAACAAATTTCCTCTATCCACAGCCAAGGCGTCAGGTGGAACTGCGACAGATTGACGGCCAGTACGAAGCCTTCAGTTTGGTGGAGAAGACTGTGAAGCAGCAGCTGGGTAGCATTCTGATGAATGCCCCTAGCCTTAATGCACCCTCTGAGAGCCTGCTAGCTGGCAGCATGGCCATGGCACTGTGCTACATATCAAGATTGCAACGCAATGTTGCCGCCGGCGTTAAGATGCATTCCCGTATTCTGGTGCTGACGGGCAGCAATGAGTGCTCCTCCCAGTACATGACATTCATGAATGTGTTCTTTACCGTACAAAAGCTGGGCATAACTATAGACACCTGCGCATTGGATAAAACTTTGAGCTTGCTGCAACAAGGCTGTGATATAACCACTGGCCAGTTCCTAAAGGTCACACAGTTGGATGGCCTGCTACAGTATTTACTGTGGGTGTTTCTGCCGGCACCACAGATGCGTCACAAATTGGTACTTCCGCCACCGCCAAAGGTGGACTATCTCGCCTCCTGCTTCTGCCATCGAGAGCTCATTGACATTGGCTATGTGTGCTCCGTTTGCCTGTCGGTGTTCTGCAAATATAGTCCCATTTGCACCACGTGCCACACAATTTTCAAGACCCCTGGACCACTGCCCGTGAAGACCAAGAAGAAAAAAAAGGATAAGCAAATGTAACTTCAGAAGCTTCAAACGTCGAGGAGTTCTTTGGAAAGGAATTGCACTTGGCACTTGGTAAAAAATATCTCACCACAATTAACATTTTTGCATTTCAAAGCTTTACCCAGACGGTAGGCCAAAACCACACAGAGTTTGGAACCATTTTATAGCAGTATCAATCAACTTTTCAGATAATCAAAGTTCTTTACAACAAGATCTAAGATACTAAAGTTATGTGAAAAACAAACCGCAACCTCTGAAAAAACCTTAAACTAAAAATTACATCCTTAATAAATTCTTTAAAAAAAGTTATGCTATAGAAAATAAACCCGACTGTTCCCGAGTTTTAAAGTCAAAATATCGTAAAAAAAAATCTCACAAAAATCAACATTTTTGCATTTCAAATCTGTATATTTCCCAGACGGTAAAGCAAAAACACAAAGTGTTTGGAACCAAAACCACACAGAGTTTGGATCCACTTGATAGCAGTATGAATAAACTTTTCAGATAAACAAAGTTCCATACAACCAGATCTAAGATAACTAGGTTATGTGAAAAAAACAAACCTCAACCTCAAAATCAAAATTTCGAAAAAAAAAAATCAAAAA